TGTACTGAGATCAGACAAAGGCATCAAGCAGCTCATGTATTTAATTTGTATTGTTCAAGCAACTGTTTTCCCTTCTCTGATGTGTGTTTTCAAATGAGAATAAAAGGACTTGAAGTTCTTACACTTTTCCCTGCAGAAATCGACATGACATGTCAATTCAACTTCATGACACAACCTAGGCTTAACCACAGATTTGCCATGTCTGTAAATGTGACACCTAAAAGCTGGAAACTTTAAAAAAGACCTACTGCAATCTGGCAAAACACACTTAAAAATTAAATTAGGTGTATTTTTATGAATTCTCATGTGCCTTACATAAGCCAATACTGTGGCACAGTTATGACCACAGGCCTGACAGGAGAACATTTTTGCTGTCAATTTGAAGAAAACAATAAAGCCATACAATTGCTCAAGGCAGTCAATTCCATGTAATCAACATTTTGAATAAGTGGTTGCCCTAAACATCCTTTGATATTCGGCTAAAATACGTCAGAAAGAAGACGGGTATAATGGCTGATTTTGGTTACAACCCGTATCAATCTTCGCACCTAAATTTCTAACCGCAATCAAGTTATCAAAATATATGTTTTTGCTGTAGATATTTAACACTAAAACTATTCTCCATTGAAACATATGCCACTTTTAAACTTACATTAAATAATCAACATTTCATACATCAAGTTTGTTTAGTGATTTGTGTGGAATTTGAAACCATTAACAACAGGCAACAGATTGTTAACTGGCCAGTTTTCAACAACGACTAACAGTCTTAGTTTAGAGATGATCTAATACTTGATAAAACCTGGTGACTGTAAAATGCGTGTATATGTTTGAATTATTCACACATTTTGGTGCTGAAGAGATGTTTTATAATTGATCAAACCTGGTAACTGTAAATGCCTGCAAATATTTGTTTGAAATATTCCAATTTCAGCACTAAAGGGCCATTTTAAAACCATACACTCGCTAGCTTGACAGCTTGCTGAGCATCGATTTCATAACATTACTTCTGGTAATACTACCTGAATAAAATACTGGTGAGGAATATAAGAAAATGTTTTACTGTGTAGGTGCAGATGCAGGTTAATGCAGTTGAAGGACTTCGGATGGCAAATGGTGATGTATAGCAGATGTCCTTCGAACTTGTGTCCTCTTCGGTAAAAAAGTGCTTTACAAATGACGTTTGTAAAAAATTGTCATCAAGTACCTGACTGAAAATGATTTTGGATGCTTGAAAATCACAAATTAACTGACAAAAGAGTAACGTGCTTTGACCAAACTTGTACTCGCACTTGTACACCCAATAAAAAAAAAATACTGCATTGTACTGTATTTAACACAGCCCACAATGCACTGCAAACAGTAAAAAAACGTATTACTTAAATACAGTAGAGTATTGTTAAAATTGGCTGTAAATTAACAGCAATTTCTTAAATGGCTAAATATTGCCCAGAATGCAATGTTTTCTACAGCACATTACTGTTTTAATGGAAAACAGTACGTTACTGTCAGATTTTGGCCGTTTTTTTACAGCAATTTTTTACAGTGTATATATGATTATTTTTGGTATTGACACCACATCAATCTGTTCTGAATACAGTCAGCTGTTTGCCATCTGTATACTTGACAGAAATAGGAAAGTCTGTTGTAGCTCACGCAACAATTTAAACGAATAAAAGTTGGCTAGTTCTTGTTCCGTACATCCTCCACATTCAGTAAAATCAGATTAACATTATGATGCAGCCTCAAAAAAAAAAAAATGTTTAAGTGGAAAAGCTGCATTTTTTTCTTTTTAAAGAAACCAACATTCCATCTGTATTGTACTACAATTTATTTTTCATGAAACCTCAATATTAATAATCTAAAGCTTAACTCATATTTTGTATAATCACATGAGTCTTTACCCTTAAGCTAATCACCGTATTTCACTTACAATTTTTGTACTCGCATTTTTTTTTAATGCATAATACTGAATCTAATATTGATACATACTCAATATAGCCTATACGTATATGTTATGTGATAAGTTATAAGATTATGTTACAAGATTTTGTCATGTGATATACTGTACATCTGACATCATTTAGCATTATTATATTCTTTTGTGATGGATCAGAACATCAATGATGAGACCTGTCACATTAAAAGAATACATCATTGCTTTAATATCTTCTACTTTCTTAAACTCTTTGGTAAAGATGTTTTTTTTTTGTTTTTTAAAAAGTATGTCTAACCATGTGACTTTGAGTAGAGTTACTTTTTGACACTTACAGTAAAGGTAAAAGTAGCTGGAACAAACATGTCATCTCTGGGCACTTTTACAGTCAGCAAAGAACTGCTGAATTCACTTTTTATGACTTTTAGTAATTTATAGGAGACTTTGAAATTTATTTAAAAGATTATTTC